GGTATCTGCAGGACTTAAGAAGGGGAAAAAAAGATGGGGGGCATGAGAGGAGGTGATGGGGTTTTGAATGTTGAGGGGGCTGGCGCCCTGGAAAAGAGGAGCTGGGGCCCTGCCTGCACCCTCATCTCTTCTGCACCCGCCCCTGCCACAGATCCGGAGTGGAGCCTCAAACCCTACAGCCTGGTGCGGCCGCTGCTGGTGCCCTCCCTGCGGCCCGTGGTGCTCTTGCCCGAGTGCCTGGCGCCTCGGCTCATCCGCAACCTGCTAGACCTGCCCAACTCCCGGCTGGACTTCCAAGTGTGCCCAGCGGGTGAGCCTTTGTGCCCGGAGAGGGGAGGGCCGGGTGGCACTCTGGGGCAGCCAGGCCCACTGGCCGTGGGTTCTGGCTTCTTCCTGCTCTCCAGAAAGCCTGTCCGGGGAGGAGCAGTGCGCACCCTCAGCTCCCGGAGCCCCCAAGGCCCGGCCTGCCACCCCTGGGCTGGGCAGCAGGATTCGTGCCATCCAGGAGTCTGTTGGGAAGGTAGGTGCTGGGGTGGGGGCTGCTCTGGGAAGTCCCTTCCATTCTGTGGGCCTTTCCTCACCTGTGAATGGCTGGTACATCTCACCTCTCTGTCTCCGTGTCCGCAAACCCTCCACTGCCCTGGCAGCGGGCTGGGACAGTGGGGGGGCGGGGGATGGAGGAATTAGCTTGATCCTATAGATGTGCAGGCTGAGGTCCAGAGAGGCAAAGTGACTTATTTCCCCAGGTCTCCTGCCTGCCCTCCTCGTTGTTCCCCTCACTGCCAAGGTCCCTCTGGATGGGGAAGCAGGACCCTGTAGGGGCGGTGCTGTGGAGCCCAGTGCTGGGGTGTGTGTGGGGTAGGGACGTTAGTGCCTCTGGGCCGGAGTAAAATGTAACCTTGACCCCCGAGAAGAAGCACTGCCTGTTGGAGCTGGGCACGCGGGGCGTGCGGGAGCTGGTCCAGAATGAGATCTACCCCATCGTCATCCACGTGGAGGTGACCGAGAAGAATGTCCGGGAAGTCAGGTGAGGCCGGACCCGAACCTCCTTTCTGGGGGTGTCTGTCTCTGGCTCTCTCTCCCTCTGTGTCTTCTCCCTCCTTCTTTGCCATCTGTCTTTTGTCTTCATCTGTTTGTCCTGTCTCTCTAACTCTCTGTGTCTTTGTCTCTCTCTGTCGTCTCTGTGCCCCTCTCTGCCCACTGCCCACTCTCTTCTCTCGCAGGGGTCTGCTGGGCCGGCCGGGCTGGCGGGACTCGGAGCTGCTTCGGCAGTGCCGCAGCTCGGAGCAGGTGCT